TTTTATTTTTTTTTTTCTTTTAGATGAACAAATTATGCTGTGTTGCAGTGCAGATGAGTGAGGAAATGAAACAGTGAATAACAAATTTGTGATTTTTACTGCCTTTCATTTGCTGAAGACAATGAATCTAAAGTAGTTTCTATACTGTGGAGACTGGGGAGGGTGAAAGAAAGATAAAAGAAGAAGACATAAATTTGAAGGGGGGGGGGGAGGGTTACACAGTCTTTGAAACATTTGAGGCTTACGTACTGTGAATTTCAATTATCTTTTGTGACATGGAGAATTTTGTTTAGATATTATCTATTGAGGGATGTGTATGATGACATGATGCTGGATGGAGTGATGCCAAAGAGAGACACATTTCACTCGCTTGTTGTGGGGACAATGAGAGGGTCTCGAATGCAAGACGCGTTTTTCTTCCGAGATGAAATGAAAACCATGGGTTTGGTACCTGATGTATGTTGTTTCCTACTCCGATTCGCCACTTATGTTGATAATGTGCACAAATCTGTTAATCCTTGCATGGCATCATAACTTGTGCTTATCGTAATGCGGATCTCTATTGTTCCTTGGTCTTGATTTTTCACGTCTTTCACCATGCTTCTCTGGGAACAATACTTATATGTGATATGAGTCCACGGAATTCAAAATGGTAACATCACAAAACCAGCAATGCACATCTCCAGGAACATGAAATGAGTCTCTTTATGAAAATAAATGCCAACTATCATTTCCAGTTGTCACACACAATAATGTAAACTACTTCTATTATTTCCCCAGGTTGCTTTATACAATTACTTGATATCCACCTGTGGGAAGTGCAGGAATTCTAATCAGGCAATTCAGGTATTTACACACATTTGGGTTACCTTTTTTAAATAATTAGGTTGATAATGCGTGGATGATGCATATCTTATGAAAAAATTGTTTTGCATATTGGACTGAAAGCTTCTGGAGGAGATGAAGAGATGTGAAGTGAAACCCACTGGACAGACTTACATATGTCTGCTTCATGCATGTGCAGCAACGGGCAGATTAGATCGAGTGTAAGCTTATTTTTCAGCGTTTTGATGCTGTGTGTCTCCATTCAACTGTAATGTTGAAAACTGGACATGAAAAACAAATTTTGTTTCAGTCAACTGTAACTGTGTGTGATCAGTGAATAGGATCTATTCACATGTACACCAAGGAAAAGAGCCTTACATACCCTTGATAATGCTCTTTATATTGTCATTTTCTCAGATATGCTATAGTTCGAGATATGACTGCTGCTGGTCTTGGTTTGAACAAATTCTGCTATGCTGGACTTATAATTGCTCACAAGAATAAAGCAACTTCCTCAGATGATACAGCTTCAAAAGTAATTATCAAATTAACGTAACTTTTAACATGGTATTTAGTTATTTACTAAAATTTGGTGTTTGCTCGTCCTTTAGTACATTTGATATTTAGATAAAAAGTGTCCTGTATATTTCTTTTGACTTTTTTCTCTCTGGATAAGATTATTGAGCTTGTGGAGCAATCTAAAGGGTGGTCTGCAGTTGACCATACAAAAGTCAATGCCGACAATGTTATGAAGGGAGTTTCTGAAGAAGAATTGTACAATCTCCCGACAGCTGAATATATGCATCGTCGTGGTGGATTCATATTCAGACAGTTGACTGTATACCACACAGCATTTTGGGCTTGCGCTGACCTTAAAGATGCCCAGGTAATAAGCAGCTATACAATGATTTGACTAACATTATGCAGTTGTTTATTATAATATACACTTATATTTTCTATTCTTTCTGTGCTTGATATTTGTACAAGAATATTTTAACTTGGACCTGGGAAGCATAAATTGTCTCCAGTTCTATGTTGGATATGCTCTGTGAAGATAGGAATTTAGGATTATGAGCTGTCTAAGATATATAAAGCATTGGTGCAGTGATTTTCTTTGTTGTTTTGTATGCAATAGTTATCACGAATCTTTAGTAGACTTTAATTTGCATTTCCTTCTCCCATGGATATAATTATGCCAATTATTTATCTTTTGATCTCTGTGATTATTATCACCTCTAGTTTACAATAAATAAATGGTCTAGGCAAATTTCTTTCAATATTTTTTTGCCAATACAAAGTTAATATGGTGCTAACTTGTGGTTCTGATGGAATGATAATTTATAGATAATTCATATCAAAATTTAATTTCACGAGTTAGTTTCATACTTCAAAAGACATCATCACTAGCAGCAAATTTACATGATATTGTGCTCGTTTTAAGAAAGATCTATTTGTATCACGCGGTGTGCCTCTTTTGACCTATTTTCGGGCATTTGTTTTTACATTTCCTCCATCTTTTCTACCATATATCATTACAAGAAAATCTGGTTTAGTCAAAACGTAGACGGCTAGGCTAGTGGTTTAGCCGCATATGATGAATGAGTCATTAAGGGGGTGATTGAATATAAATAAGACTGGTTTTGATTGATTTTTTTGGTTAAAGCGAGTTAATTTTGAATAAAGTTAATTGAGTGGAGGATTGAGTGGAATTTTGTTTGTATTTAAATAATACTTAAAAATGTTATAATTAAAGTGGATGTGATATAAAAGTATGAGAAAAGTTACTGCAAATGATAGGTAGTTAAAATATGTGAGTGGATGAATAGTGAATTAAAGTTGATTCGATGTGTGAGGATAATTGATTGGTATTATTTAAATATATTGGTGATATTGAGGAGAGTTGGATTGAAATTGAGTTGGACTTTGAGCTATGTGGTGTAAAATAAATTATCCGGTTAGACAAAACCGGTTTTAACTTGTAGCCAATTGCATACAGAAAAATGTTTCTTGTACACTGTGGACCAAGCATGCCAGAATATATTCCTCCCTAAAACTGCTGTCTTTACTCTTATTTAGAGATCATTTTATCTTGGTAGGGTACCGATAAACTTCTGGAGATGTTCGAGAAGGATGAAGAAATTAAATACCCTGATGTTTTTATTTTGATGCAAGTTATGAGGTATCTTCTTGGATCTATTACTTCTGATGTTTTGCTTGTCAATTTTGACGTTTCGATGTACATTTCTTCACTGGATGCCGAGCATAAAATTACTTTCACCTTTTCAATTCATCTGTCTAGATTGATATGATCAATGCACTCTTAATGCAGATGCTATCTTCATGCTGGGGATATTGACCGTGGGTTGAAAATTTTTGAAGATTACATGAGTTCGAACCGACCCCCTATGGTAGAACTATATGTGGTGAGTTCTTAAAGAAACCTGCCTTTATTGCTTAGAATATTCTATTTCTTTGGACTTCATTAATCGATAATTGTGGATTTCCTAGCCATCACCAAAAAGAAGATAAGACAAAGAAAAATGTTTTGTAAGTGCATCCACATTCAACAGTTGGTGATGATTTATACAACTATTTTCATCTTCACTTGCCACCATTAATTTTGAGAAGTATCCTCAAGAGACCAACTAGTATGTTGGAGCATTTTCAATTTCCTCCATGTTTAGTTATTTTTTTTTAAAGTTCAATTTTATTTTTTAATTTAATTTTTTTTTATTAAACTGGTAAAATTCATCCTACTCATGGTCAAATTTGAAAATAATTGCAATCCTTTTGCCTGCAGACACTTATTGAAGGAGCCATGGTTGGATATACACCCAGGGGTATGCAAATTGCTCAAGACACTCTGGTATGCTATGTTTTGTGGAGGTTCTTTTGAACCCTTTTTGCTCGTATCTTGTTCGTTTAATATTGGAGATAGGCAATTTAAGCTATCTGTATTTTGTAAATTTTCCTCGAATAATTTCAATCTTCAAACCAGGTCACTATGAATTCAAAGGGCTTGTTCTTGAGTTTTAAGATGGCAAATGATCTCCTACTTGTTGCTGCGGGTGAAGAGGTAAACTGAGAGATAGGATATAAAACACACACACACACACACATACATACATGTGTATTCATGTTTTCTTGACTTTTATGTGAGGGCTTTTCGATTTCTTAGACCAAGTATTCCTTTATGTTGTTATACAGGATGGCGGATATTTTGTTGCCAACTTCTTATGGGATTTGATGCAAACTCGTAAGATGACCCCGTCACTCCCTGCTGTTCTGGCATATCATAAGGGTTTGAAAGTGAGTCTTTAATCATCTCTCTTACACTGCTTCTATAAATCAAGTGACATTTGCAATATCTCCCGAATACTACGTGCATATATTTGTAATAAATTTTTCATCGGTAGTTTCTGTAATTTCTCATTTTTTGTAGACTTATAATTTTGCTCTTATTTTTTTTTT